TCATTGCCCTTCATTTGATCTGGACTGTAATTTTTCTTTAGCTTGCATTTAGTGTAGTTCCTTGCATTATGAGGAATGATGCCATTTCTATGCTGGGCATAGATGCATTTGGACTACAAACACAGAGGGGCTCTGTAACTTCCCAGTCTAAAAGATGTGACAGTACTTCCCTCCTAGAGATCTGTGTGAAAACTGTTCCAGTTGTGTTTTGCAAGACATTCCAGCCCCAGAATAATAGAGATAGTACTAGTCCACACAATAAAAAGTACATTTTTCTGTGTTTATTCACTAACAAGGCAGAATTCTCTTTTCATCATTCAGAGATAGGAACTGATGGAATAAAGTAAAAAAGTCATCTATATGTTCTGGTGGAAACATTCTTACACAGAATATTTTTTAAAAAACACAGAAGAATTTCATAAGGAAAGAAAGAAACAATTTAGTAAAGAACAGCTATGAAGGAAAACCCAGTTAAGAACTGTTTCAGCTTTAAGCTGCTTAGCATAGCGCAAACTGCCTGCTGTGGCACACAAAGTGAAGCCCAACTTCACTTCCCAATCATTTCTTTTGCTCATTTCCTATGAAGAGAAAACCAAATCCATACAGAGTGATTGCAGAGGTCTTCTAGGAAAACATGATTCTTCAATGGTTTTATTTGGACTTGCCTGTTGAGCTCTCCTCTAGAACATAGTTTATTATAGAAGCTGAAGTTCTGTTGCGGAAGAAGAAAAAGATTAAGAATGTCAAGCTTCACTAACACTTTAATGAAAAATTACCTAGGCAGGCTTGTTAGATCTTTTTCCCTTCAATTGAGTTGTGCATTAGGATAATTCATTGCATAGTTTCCAAAAAACCTTTTAGTCAGAAGCACTTCTGCCTTAGGGTAAGAAAAGCCTCCTGCCTTCATCTCCCATGGAGCTTTAAAAGCAGGTCTGATTACCCTTCATGTGAAGAGCTGCCATCTAACTTTCACTAAAGGCTAGATTAGGTTTAGATCTGAATCTGTGGCTAGTGAAGGGGAAAAAAAACAACACAGGAATGAATGGTGTCAGCCCGAGGGAAATTCTAAACAATAAAAATACTGCATCATGCAGCTTGCTTTCCTTCTTCCTAGTGCGCCAGCCTCTCTGACTCTGCAATTCACTACACTGCAGATCTTTGTTACCGCATCAATTCTTTCCATACTCTCATTCAAGGGGTTATCTGTAAGTTTAGAAGAAAGTGACCACAGGTTATCACTTGTGTTGCTCTAATGCACAAGAGCAAAGCATAATGTGTATTGCCGTTAACAGTCCATTCAACAAAAGTGCTCTCCCTCTCTCAATAGAAGTGAGATTTGTGTGACTTGGCAACAAGCAGCTCAGGGAGCTGCTCAGCTGAAAACTAATCACTAGTGACAAAATCCAAAGTCGTGGCCTAGATCAGTTAAATCAGATCACCTTTGGGTCATATGCACACTGAAGCCAAAAAGAACATTTGACAGGGAAAAGCAGACCTTCAACCACACAAAATTAAAACTGGCTTAAATCCCTGCAAATTCATACTGTCAGATTCCCTTTGCATGCCTAGATCAACTAAAGATTAATGCTGCATTGATTATGCAAGATTAATGACTAGATGCCGATTTCATTCCGAAATTACATCCCTATTTTATCTCAAAACGCAGTCAGACCCATGCTTACACCCTTCAGGTTTTAAAATTCTTTAAGTGAAATACTGATATGAGGAGCAGGGCTGATGATATTTTACTGCATAATTTACATTGAGATAGGACTTCTGAGTACTGAATTCACTCATTTTCCTGCAGCCACATAAATCGCATTCCCTGTACCAAAGTGAAGGGAGTTACTGTTCTGCAGTTCCCGGTCACAGGTTTCTCTCTCCAATTTCCCTGGTGCATTTGAGTGTTCTGCTGAAATACACAGCATGAAGCAAACACATATCTTGCAGAGTACAAATTCAAGAGAAGGATTTTTGGGATCTTGAAGGGTTTCATCCACCTCTCCTCCCCCCGTGTGATTGGGAAATAAAGACTGTCCATGGATGTGAAGTTTTAGATGCAGGAAGGTCTTAGATCCAATCACATCTGCTAAGATTTTAATCCTAGTGTAAACCCCTTATATAAATAAAAAAAAAAAGAAATTACTTATATAACTTCAGTAGTTCATAAAAACCAGTGAAGTCTATTGTATTGTAAAGTAAAATAGGCAGGAAATTACTTGTGCACACAGTGTTAAATTATCAGTTTAGTCTTGCTTCTCTTAAGAACCGGTCACCAGAAGTTTTTCTTTTCTCAGCTTCATCCAGAAAATGCTTACATTTTCCCGGGTGTACTCTAGATTTCAGACCCTTACTATTTTACATCCTTCTGATAAAGGCTGGAAGATGAATAATCATGAAACCCAAGAACTAGGATAGCTCACTTCTTCCTCAGCCATTCTCCCATGAAAAAATTTTTGTTTGGCAGAGCTGTTAAAAGAAGTTGTTTGTACTGCGAGAAACTGGTTTCCAAACTTAGTGAACACTGGGGTCATGTCCCATAAAGGGAAAAGAAAGTTAAGACTCCTTTAGTGATCCCACTCAAGCCCTGAAAACCTACAGGAGGGAGGATTTGTGTGCTCAGGCAGGAACAGAGAGAGCATCGCTTCTGCAGCTTTGCTACTTCGGACTCACTTAGCGGCACCACTCCAGTTGTGGCACAGCCACTGCCTCACTTCCTCACCAGCTAATTGCTACACTAAATCCTGGGATTAAGGAGTTGTGAGGAAATATTGAGGGACACAAGTCTTAAAAACTGAAGAAAAGAAGAGAAAAAAAAAAATTTTCTTTTCAGCTGGTGCCATCCCCTGTCTCTTCCCCTTAATCCAGACATTCCCAGCTGAAGTTTGAAAGGGTTGGGATTTGCCTCTCCAAGACAACACAAGATTGCCACCTGCAGGACTCGGGAGCCAGAAGGACAGCACTCAGCAGTATGACACTGAAGAAAAATAAGAACAAAATGGTTGTATTTTCCATATAAATTCAGTCCGTTCTTTTTTTTCTTTTTTTTTTCATTCTCAATACTTTGACTTGGAACACTAATCTACAGTTCTCAAGTAGAGAAAAAAGTTAAGACCTTTTTGCTATGGCACAGAGAGATTAAGTAGATGTGATAAAATTCTTTTACATATTCATGCCCCGGTTCTTACCATTTTCTTATTGCTTCTGGAGATTGTGATATGCTTTTGCCTTTTAGGTTTTTTTATACCTTTACTTTCCCTGTTCATGTTTTGGTAATAAAGCAGAAGCTTTATTACCCAGTCCACCAGGACTCTCATGCACAGCAGACAAGATAATCATAAAATTGACTTGGTCCACACTGACTTTCAGAAGAAAAAGAGTTTTTTATTACTATTTTTATCCTGGACTGACACTGAAATGATTTTTACCAGCAGGACCGTCTCTGCAGACAAAAGCCTGTATCCCGGTACACCCACAGTGAATACCAATTACACATAATAATATCGAAAAGTGGGAAAAGACAGCAGAGATTTGCTTCATATATGCTCTGTTTACTTTGAGTGAACTTAAGTTTTGAAAAATCTTTTTACTGTTACACTTTTCTCTGTAAGACATGGTAGAAGAACATGGTTGGCAAAACAATGACCAATATGCCACTAAGTAGGAGGCATATAGGAATCAACATGGTCAATTCTACATACCACATACACAGGAAATAGTTACATGGTGAACACTTCTCTGCTTCAAGGACCAAGCAAACTTGAAGAAAAGCCCTTCACAGCAGTAATTCCAATCCTTAAGACAAAGAGCTGCATTAAGTCATGGCTCAAAGCATATACTGCGGCTCAAGAAAAACAAATGCTACAGGGATACCGATATCCCCTACAAACCAAGCACCACAAATACAAGATTTTCAAAACTAAATGCATCAAGAAATCTCAAACTCAGCCAGAAGCAAAAACAACAGTCGGTGCTTCTCGACTTACACCGGTACAGTGACTTTCTGGAGAACTGTATTTTCTGTATTTTTTTCTCTTTACGAAGAAAGGCCAACCAACCCACAGAACTTACCTAGCTACTCATCAAAAAGCCAGAATCTTAATAAATAAATGAAAGCATTTTCATACAGGACCATGCACTGTACATAGAAAGCACATTCAGACAAAGTGGAATGTCTACATGCTATTGAAGTGCCTTCAGCACATGGAACTTTTTCTAAACATTTAGAGATGTGCAAATCTTCCCATTCTGAAAAAAATACAGCCACTATCACATTACAATTCAACAAGCACATCTTCTTCTGAAGTCATGAAACATGGGACAAAGAAATGTAACTGGGTTTATTTTCTATTTCCTTTTGCACTGTTTTTAAAACTTCTAACCAACCATTAGAGATTTCAAGAGCTTACCTGAAACACTGAAGTCATCCTGCTAGATTTGGTCAACAGTGAATTGAGTACCAGAAACCAGTGATCCAAGTGTAACATAGTTAGTATCGCACCATCATTTTAAGAAAACAATGAAAATTCAAGACTATTTCAGCATAAAACTTTAAAAAAATTAGGCTCCAAGCTGTCTTTCCTGGGGAAAAGGGCTGTCATTCAGTTGCAGGAGCCCTGCACTGAAAATGCCAGTCTGAGCCCCCAAAATCACCACTGCTGGAGATTCCTCCCAGCCAAAAGGTGCCAGGACAGAAAGCTCTTGCTGCCCATGGAGTGCCTGGGTTTCTCATCACCTGCACCTGAGACCCCAAGGGTGAAGACTTTCTTTGCTGGTGGAAAGGGTTCTTATTCACTTACAGGAACTCTGGAACGAAATTGGCCATCTGAGCCCCCAAGTTGAACATAGATGGAGATTTCTCCTAGAGAAAAGGTACCAGAGCAGGAAGCTCTTGCTGCTTATGCAGTGCACAGGATGGCCCACCACCTGAACCTTTCACCTTCTCTGATGAATTACTTCTTTGCCTCTCTGCCCAACAAACAAGAAGTTTAATTTCTTACCTAGTCTCTGTTGTTTTAGTGGGTATAGCCGCAGAAAGAGAAAAAGTGTCTTCATTCTCATTAGCAGCCTTTTTCTGCATCAGGCCCTTCACCCATCCTGAAGTTAAGTCAGAGAGACAAAGCAGGTGCTGCTCCTTCCAGAGCCTTTATACTTCTGGTATTTGCCTCCTCCCTTTCCCCGGGGCCTCATGGGAAGGGAGGTGGGTGTGGCCAGGGGTATATTAGCCCCAGCCATTGCTCAGGGAGCTCATTCAGCAGCTGGATTCAACAGAATGGGAGTTCTCTCTCTTTCAGTGAAGGGCATCTTTCAAATTTTTTCAGGTTTCCTGAACCACCAACTTTGGTATGTAAAGGAGCAGAGGCGTATGTGGCCATGAAGAGGATTACAGGCTTTTTGAAGTTATTAATTTTATGTCATTTGCTCAGGGATGGTAAGGTGCTTTTGTAATTTGCTCTTTTCTTTTTTTTTCCCCTTTAGGAGCATTGTGTCTTTTGGGATTTCTTGATCACTTCAACTGTAACTTGGCATTTTTCCAAGCTTTCTCTTGTGAAGCTACTCTGTGTTGAAGATGGTTCCAGGTTTTTGAATAATCAGGGGTTATAGCCTAGAGATGTAATGAGAGCTAGGGTATCGGGTTAGGAATTGCCAGGGATGTTTTGAAGGTAGTACAGGTGGAAAGCAGTATTTAGGAAGAGCCCCCTAAATGCCTGTGAAGGAATCTACTGACTTTTCAGATGTGCCGCTTAAGTTTGTCTCTTGTGCACCCAGATATTCCATGCGATGACAACTGCAGTCTCCAGCCGTGGCTGCAGGCAGTCACCCTGGATGGTTTGCCTAAAGAAAAGTGACACTTTTTCAGCTCTCCCTCTGTATCTGGGTGACTTTGGTAAATGATTTCTTTGCAGCATCAGAGGGACAGGAGGTAAAGCAGAGATGACCAGAAGAGGTCAGAGGAGCACAGCAACAGACTGGTCAATTACCTGACATCGGCAGGAAGATTTGACTTTAGGCTCTATTTTGGGGGGGGGGGGGGGGGGTGGTGGTTTGGGTTTTCCTTTTTTTTTTTTTTTTTTTTTTTTTTAGATGCAGAGCCCCTGGCCCAGCAGACAATAGGCACTGGAGGGGAGGGGAACCTTGTGAGTACCAGTGAGCAAGATGAGCATTGACTCCAGGACTGAAGTAGATGCTCTTTTACAGGTGTTGTGGTTTTGCTGAATCTGTGATCGTCCTTTGTTTCTTGTGTTTTACAGGTAGTCTGCCAGCTTCTAACAGATGGTCCAACGCATCAGGGATTGTGCTGGTAAGAGGTCACTGTTGAGAAGAGGCAGGCAGGAGCTAACCCTGAGACACCATCATTTCGGGCAGTATCTCGGTATGGACATTTGCCTATGATTTTATTTTGCAGGGAATGTGTGCAGCCTCAGAGGGCCGAGGCCACATGCCAATTAAGTTTGATGGTCTTCAGCTGTCCTTGTGAGTAATCTTTTAGTACTACAAGGCTCAGCAATTAAGCCTTGACCTTTTCTGGTTGCAGGTGCCATCTGGCCTGCATTTGGCAAAGGAGGAGCATTTGTGCTTAGTTGGCAAGGTAGCGAGGAGGTGCTGGGGTCTCCCTTACTTTCAGAAACACCACGTAACTTTTTTCTCACACACCCAGGTACGGCACACAGTGACGGCAGCAGCCTCTGACTCGGGTCGGAGCCAGTGGCCCGAGAACCTCACAGCTTAGGGGATGGTGAGTAGCCAGTTGCGGGCTTATCTCCCACGTGCTGCTGAACTCTTGCATCAGTTTCAGTTTTCTTTCTCGTAGCTGACTGAGTCAGGGATCACAGGACCCTCTGAGCCAGCCAGGCGTCCTTCCTTCACGGGGGAGGCCGTGCTGGGGCTGAGGGGCTGCTGCTCTCTGGGCCTCTCGAGGTTTGCCTTGGAATCCCAAAGCCTGGGCCTGCGCGGGGGGGAGGAGGCAAAGGTGACTCTAAATTGTTTTCTTGTGGAGTGTTTTGGGGCCGAGTTAATGCTCTTGGCTTGTTGTGTGTCAATTCCCAGCCTCGGCCAGGGCTTCGCAGGGAGCGTTGCTGCAGCTGCTGCTGCTGCCGCCGCCGCCAGGGGAGAGAAATCCTTTGGGAAGCTGAGCTGGAAACAGCAACTCTGTGAATTGCTCAGCTTTTCCTAGGCAAGGGCAGGTTTTAGGGAACAAAGGCCTGTACTCGCGAAAGGCGCCGTGGGTCTTGCAAGGGGGGGGGGCGCGCGGCTGCAGTGCCGTTCCCGGCCGTGTCCGCCAGGCGGCGACTGCGAGGCAGGGCCCGGCGGTCGGGGTAGGCTTGGAAGGGGTGCTACCCCCGGGGTAGGCAGCGTAGCTTAGACTTCCCAGGAGGGAAAGAGGGGCTCTGTGTGCCAACCCGTGGGGAGCCAGCCCCGCCGCCGAGCAGGAGAGGAGAGCCTCGGGCTCGCCCCCTGTTCCCGAGGACGGAGCGAAACCCGTTAGTGGCGCCGCGGGGCCGCCCGTCCTGCTGGCGATGTGCCAGGGTGGGCCCCCCCTCCCCGTCCTCGGGGCTGGGGCCCTGTCCCCGCCGGCCTTAGGCCGCGAGGCCGTTGTTGGGAGTGCCGGGCCTCGGGGGGGCGGCCCCCTAAGTGGGGCTTTGTGCGTCCCCCCTGCTCGGCGGGCGGTTGGAGGGACCCCCTGTAATCAGGCGGGCGTCCCGCGGGGTCCCCGGCCTCTCATGGGCGTGGGGCTGGGCGTGTGCCCTCCCTGCCCTCGGGGCCCAGCTCAGGGCCTTAGGCCACGAGCCCCAGTGCCTGGCCCTTGAGTCAGGTACTTGATGCCGCGGGGGAAGGCCGAGCTCCGTGGCTCCCCGGGCGTGGACCCGCCTGTAAGCAGGGTCCGGGTCTGGGAGCCTTTGCGCTCCCTCAGCTGGCAGCCTGTGCGGGGCGACCGCTCCGTTAGCGGGGAGCGGGTCAGGTGCCCCCCGAAGCGGAGAGAAGGAGCCTCCGTAGGCCTTTGGGCCCAGGGCCCCCCTGTAAGTCGGGGTCAGTGCCCTGGTGTCCCAGGCCCTTTGTGGTCCAGGCAGCGGCCGGAGCCCCTGTAAGCAGGGCGGCAGCCTCTTTGGCCGCTGCTTCGCATGCCCAGCTGCCTTTGCCCAGAGGGCCCGGCTCCCCGCGTCGCCGTGGTGAGTCCAAGTGAAGCTGGGAGAGTTTTGTGGGGGGAAGTGGGGGGGCCTGTGGGTGGGCGGGGAGGGTCTTGCAGATGTGCCTCCGGGGGCGTGGGGTCCGGGTTGCCTTGGTACGGAGGAGCTGGTGTTTCTCGGGCTCACCTGCCTCCTCCCGCCCTGGCAGAAGCCGTCGGAGAAGAGAGCGGAGCGGGCTTCCAGGGCACTCCTTGCAGGGGTTGTGTTTAAGGGAAGGGCAGGGGAGCCTTTCTGTGGCCCAGAGGAGCTGCAGTTTTCTTTCTTCCTCTCTGGAGGACTAAAAACTAAGAAAATAAAAAGCAAACGAGAAAGAAAAGAAAAGAAAACGAAAAATAAAGAGAATAAAAAAGTAAGGGAATAAAGAAGGAAAGAGAAAATACAAAAGAAAATTAAAAGAAAAAAATTAAAATCGGGCAAACTTAAAAGGCAATAATATAATGACAAGTGAAATGAAAGGGAAAAACAAGTCTTCCTGGGCACCCCAGGGTTTCCTCCCCGCTCCGCCCTCCGCCCCGTAAGTTGGGGGTCACCCCTAAACTGTGAGAAGGGGACCGCAAAAGGTGGGTGGGGGAAGCCTAGGGAGCCGAAAAGGCAGTGGAGGGGGAGCGGCGAAATGTGAGGGAGGAGCCCCGGAAAAGCGGGCGAGGCGCGCGGAGTAAGAAAGCGAAGCCGGGCGGTCGGGCGGCGGGGTTAGGGGGGAAGCCAAGGTGGCGACGCCGGCGCATGCGCAGTCGTTGGCAAGACGCCGGCGATCACGTGGTAAGTAAGGGCAGCCAGGAGAGGGACCGGCGACGCATGCGCAGTGGCTCTCGTGGCGGTGCAGCGCTCCCTGCTCGAGTTAAGGGCCGGTTCCGGCGGCAGGGCGGGACTCGCGGTCTCCCGTCTCTCCAGGGGTGTGTGTGGGGGGAATAACACGAAGATTTTTTTGGGGCGAAAGCGCAGAAATTAGCGAGGAGGGACGCTAATTTGCGTAAACTCGGTCACCGGAAGTAGAGAGCGACCGGAAGTCCTCCAAGGCCCCGGCGCGGAAGTTCGCCGAGCCCACAGTTAAGATGGCGCCGCCAGGACCGGATCGACCACACTAAAGATGGCGGCCCCGGTCCGGAAATTCGCCCCGACGCCACACTCAAGATAACGCAGCCAGGACCGGAACTTAGCCGAGGCCACACTCAAGATGGCGGCGAGAGGCCCCCTTGCCTCAGAGAGGCGTCTATCCTGTTGCCTGACCACCGCCGCGACCCGGACCCCCGCCCAGCGCCCGCAGCGCCGTCTCGCCGCGCCGCTTCCCACTGTGGAGACAGGGCGGGGCGCTCGGCGGCGCCGGGCGCAGGCGGCAGGTTCGTGGGCGGCGGCAGGCACCGGCGCGGGCAGCCCCCGTCTCGGGGCCGCGGCGCGCGGCTGACCGCGAGGACCCCCAGGCGAGCACGCGGCGCACCGCCCACCCGCCACGTTCCGCTCCGCTCCCGCCCCCGCTCTCGCTCCCGCCCCGCTCGGTCCCGCAGTGCCCTGGAGATGCTATCGGGGCTGCGCCGCCGCCTTCCCCCCCCGGAAGCGACCCACGGCGGCAGATCCGACGGAGATCGTCCCCGGGGTAATCTGGGCGCGGTGGGGGGGGCGCGGCCGCTCTTCTGCCTCTCCCGCGGCCATCGGCGACTGCAGGCCGGAGAAGCGACAGGCAAGTTTCTCGCCTCTGCGGAGAAACTTGCACCTGCCTGCCGCCGCAGGGCCGGGTTCGGATGTGCCCTGGCATTGCACACGCAACACACCCCCCCGCGGGGAGGGTCTGCGCTCCCTCGGGGACCCCGTCTGTGCTGCCGGGAGAGAGAAATCCTTTGGGAAGCTGGGCTGGAAACAGCAACTCTGTGAATTGCTCAGCTTTTCCTAGGCAAGGGCAGGTTTTAGGGAAGAAAGGCCCGTACGCGCGAAAGGCGCCGCGGGTCTCGCCAAGGGGTGGGGTGGGGTGGGGGGGACGCAGTGCTGCAGCGCCGCG